TTTTTTTATTATTATTATTATAAAAAACACAAAAGTACCAAAAAGTTCCCTTTTATATATTCTCACTTCCTCCGGGCTCTACATGCTTAAATTCATGTTTCTGGGTTCAATATTATAGATAATTCAAAAAGTACCTTTTGAAGAACCAAAAAGTCCCCTTTTAAAGGTTCTCACTTAATCCGGGCTCTACATACCTAATTTCATGTTTCTAGGTTCAATATCATAGAAAATTCGAAAAGTTCCTTTTGAAGAACAAAAAAGTAAAATACCTTTTCCTTTAATTACATGTTTCTAGGTTCAATTTAATAGAAAACTCAAAAAAGTACCAGTCGAAGAACGATAAAGTACCAATAAGTCCCTTTTATAGATTCTCATTTACTCCGGGCTCTACATGCTTAATTTCATGTTTCTATGTTTAATTTTAAAGAAAATTCAAAAAGGTAACTGTGTAGAACGAAAAAGTACCGAAAAATCTCTTTATTAATTTCATGTTTCGATTTCAATATCATAGAAAACTCAAAAAGTACCAGTTGGAGAATGAAAAAGTACCAAAAAATATCACTTGGTACCGGTGTTCCAAATTACACCCCATTAGCATATTTAGTGTTTCTAAATCTAAAAATTGTATATAAATTGGATAATTATGTTTGAATAAAATCAAATATCCCGCTTTTACCCCTTTTGGTACTTTTTTCCTCCCCATTAACGAAATAAAAATTTTATTCCAAAAAGTTGCAACATCGTATTGGGAGCCCGTTATTATGTATTCATATGTTTAAGGGCGGGTTTCTTACTACTCAGTTAAACTAGGCTTAACTTGCTGTTAGATTAAACTCGGAACAAATGTAGGCGGACTTTAACCGATGATTGTGTTTTTCAGTTATGGATTTAAGTTCAGTTAACTTTGTTAGTATTGCCAACTTTTCACTCAAAAATATAAACAATGAACAGCTGTTTTTTGCAAATAATACTTTTGTAAAATGAAAATTTTTGGAAAAATGTTAAATAAACATTTAAAACAATAGTAAATAAAACAAAACGAATCGGAAAATTGCAATTTACTTAAAATATTAAGTTTTTATTCTTCCGAAATCAGTGTTTTATTGTTTTTATTAATTGTGTCTTCTCACTTATAACTTAAGTTTAATTGGCCAATAACACTCAGTAAAACTAAGATAATAAGTAACGTTACTGTTTACTGAAAAACACAAAACATATATTAAACTAGGTTTAAACAAAGAATGTAGATTATCTTTATCTGAAAAACCCGCCCTAAGTTAAAAAACCAAAAACAATGTTCTATGAAAAAAGTACCAAAAATAGGTACAATTTTCACCCCTTATACGTTCGAATATCCAAAAAGTACTAAATTCATATTTTTATTTTTTCGTCAAGTTATAAAGGAGTCAAAAATATTTTTTGATGTTCCCTGGCTTAAAAGATACATGGGGAGCAAAAAGTTCCAAAATACAGTTTTTACCCGTTTATTCCCTAAAGGCCCGAATTTGAAAAAAGTACCAGACACTTATTTTTTAAATGAACGACGATAAGCTTTAAATTGTTTTTGTATCTTTTATAGAGAGTTAAATTTTTTTATTTTTTTCCATCCCTGCATAATTTCTCACACAACTTTTGTGCTTGCTCTATTTTATTGTTATAAATTATACACAAAATCCCACGTTTTTATCTCCCGGATTCCGTTTTTATATAAAATCTTTGGAAATTTGTAAATTAAGCGTATTTGATACTTAGCCGGCTTACAGTCGATTTTAAGCCGCCGCCGATATTTTTAGTGTCAGCCGCCTGGGCTCTGTTCGGAGCAGGTCTCTTTTCGTTACACAATGAGAATTGTTTTTCATTCTCTTGCATTGTCTAAAAAACAATTGCAAATTGTAAAGTGTTGTCAGCAAATTTCATCTTCCACAAAACGTTTAGTATCCACTAGAAAAGTGCTTGAAATGACCGGAGAAACTACGAAAACAAATGCTGCCATCGATTATCCAACTCCTCGCAAAGATGAGAGCTATGTGGAAAAATTACACGGCGTCGAAATCAAAGACGTCTATCGTTGGCTAGAAGACCCTGATTCGGAAGAGACAAAGAAATATGTCGATTTGCAAAATGAAATTAGTCAGCCTTTTTTGGAAAATTTTGAGGCTTGGAAGAAAATCAATGAGAAGTTGTCGAAATTGTGGAATTACGAAAAATATGGTTGCCCCACGAAACATGGTGATTACTATTATTTCTACAAGAATACCGGCTTGCAAAACCAGAGTGTTTTATACCAACAGGACAAGTTGGACGGAGAGCCGCGCTTATTTTTCGATCCTAACGCTTTGTCGACAGATGGCACTATAGCTTTGGCTCAAAAATCATTTTCGGAAGATGGCAAATATATGGCATATGGCTTGAGTGAAAGTGGCTCAGATTGGGTTAAGATTTATGTGCGCAATGTAGAAACCGGCAAAGATTTGGATGAGGTCTTGGAAAAGGTAAAGTTTTCTGACATATCTTGGACCAAAGACAACAAAGGTTTCTTCTACGGTCGTTATCCTGGACAAGAGGGAAAAACAGATGGTTCGGAAACCAAACAAAATGAATTTCAAAAGCTTTACTACCATTATTTGGGACAACCTCAAGAGAAAGATATACTGATAGCAGAGTTTCCCGAAGAGCCAACGTGGCGCATACAATCTGAAGTTTCGGATTGTGGCAAATACCTTATAATGCCCATAGTTAAAGACTGTCGCGATAACATACTCTACTATGCTAATCTAGAAGAGGCTGGTGAAATTACCGGCAAACTGAAAGTTAATAAAATTGTAGAGAAATTTGAGTCCGATTACCAATATGTTACAAATTTGGGTTCAAAGGTTTTCTTTAGAACGAACAAAAATGCTCCCAATTATCGTATTATTGCCATAGATTTTGATGATTATGCTGAAGAAAAATGGGAAACCTTAGTGGCCGAGCATGAAACTGATGTTTTGGATTGGGCCCGTTGTGTGGATGATGACAAACTTGTATTGTGTTATATACAAGACGTCAAGAGTGCCTTACAAGTGAATTCTTTAAAGGACGGCAAATTGATTAGTAAATTTGAGTTGGACATTGGTACGGTAATGTCCTTCTCAGGCGATAAGAAATATTCGGAAGTTTTTTACAATTTTTCATCTTTCCTTAATCCGGGAACCATATATCATTATGACTTTAAGTGGAACGATTTCAAGCCAAAGGTATTGCGTGAAATTAAATTGAATTTGGAAAACTTTTCGGCTGCCAAATACAAGGTGGAACAAGTATTTTACAAGAGCAAGGATGGCACGAAAGTGCCTATGTTTATAATCTACAAAAATACCGATGTCATCAAGCCAAGACCTTGCCTTTTATACGGCTATGGTGGTTTCAATATCAGTATGCAGCCTTCCTTTAGTATTTCTGGTCTTATGTTCATTGACTCGTTCGATGGCGTACTGGCCTATCCCAATTTACGTGGTGGTGGCGAATATGGTGAAAAATGGCATAATGCCGGCCGTTTGTTGAATAAACAAAATGTATTTGATGATTTCCAAACTGCTGCTGAATATTTAATGGCCAATAACTATACTACCAAAGATCGTTTGGTTATACAAGGTGGCTCCAATGGTGGTCTGCTAGTGGGTGCTTGCATAAATCAACGACCCGATCTCTTTGGTGCTGCTGTAGCTCAAGTAGGTGTTTTGGATATGTTACGTTTCCACAAATTCACCATTGGCCATGCCTGGTGTTCGGACTACGGTAATCCCGATGAAAAGGAACATTTCGAGAATCTTTTGAAATATTCGCCACTACACAATGTTCATACACCGAAGTCGCCTGAAGAGGAATATCCTGCTACTTTAATACTAACTGCCGATCATGATGATCGTGTTAGTCCTTTGCATTCATTGAAATTCACTGCCGCTCTACAGGAGGCTGTTCGCAATTCTGAACATCAAAAGAATCCCATTTTATTGCGTGTCTATAGTAAAGCTGGTCATGGTGCTGGCAAGCCAACATCGAAGCGCATCGAGGAGGCCACCGATGTTCTTACGTTTATGCTTAAAAGTCTTAAGGTTGAAAATGTTAATATTTAAAGGAAATAAACCAAGCCAATGTGTATTAACAAAGTTGGTATATCACAACAATCTAGCGCCATCTTTTATAAATAGAACATTTAAAATATTGTTTAAACTAATATTCATTCATACGTAGATATAAATGAAATCGTATTCAAATCTATTATAGCTCTTTCTATATATAAAAACAAACACTTTGTTAGTGCATGATAATAATAAAACTTTTTATATCTATTGTATAACGTTACAAATTATTAAATAAATAAATGCATTTCATAACAGCTAAAAGAAAATTAAATTTGCGTTTGGATTTAATCTCCCTATTCTGCATTTCAATTCGAATCGAAATTTTCTTCGTTTGGCAACTATTGTATTCTGCATTTCGATTCGACTATCCGCCAAATAAACAACAACTTAGAAAGCGTAACTACGATCGTAATGCACAATACACACAATCGTTAAAGCATTGAAACGAAATGGAATTGCTTTTTATTTTTCTTACGATTCAGTTTTTTTGGAATACCTTTTTTCGATCGTTACGTAACTGAATGCGTAAACGTAGAATGTAGAATAGGTGTGAATGTCTAAAGAACTCTCTTCTTCGACTTGGTTGTATTATACAACTTGTATTCCGTTATCCTCTTTATTTGTTTTTTCTAGCGTTTTGTTTCTCAATCTTTGGATCTTCACACTTTACAAAGAGAATCACAATGGTCCCCGAGGGGAGAAGCACCTTTTTATGGTGCATATTAACAGTTTAGCTTGAAGACCGTTACTAGGTAACGGAAGTTTGTTATTTTTTAAAATAATATTCCCGCAACACTTTGAACCAATAAATATTAAGGATAAAGTTGAAAAGGATTCAAAAAAATAAAAACATCCTATTATAAACCTCCTGTAATTATGTCCTCACGTAAAAATTCCTTAAAAAACAACTCGGAGTTCTCATTAAACTCGACTACATCCAATACAAATTCCAATGCCAGTGCAGATATAACGGATAAGTCAATAAATTTAAATGAATTTTTGGATTTTTTAAATTTGTCGTGTCATGTTAATGACATGATTTCCCACAATAGTGAAGAACAACAAAGACAACATAAGGAACATTTTCAAACGACAAAATCGTCTAATGGTGCGACCGGTTTGACCACGGCTCGTCCTAAAACCTATGGTACACAAAGTCCTATAGATTTTCATAAATTATCTCAAAATCGTTTAGTAAATGATTTATATGGTTTTAATCGCCATGTACGTTTACCGGCTGAGGAAATAGGTGAGAATAATGTGGGCGCCGTGGGTGTTGAAGTTACACGTCCTTTACGACGTGCCTCTACCTTAACAACAACTTCAAAAGTATCAAGTAAAAATGCAGAAGGAGGTTTGCATCCGAAATTAAATGAAAAATTGGATTATGTTTTAAATGAGGGCATTTTGGATGCAGTTTTACCTTTTATTTGTCCAGTGCCACTGCCAGCTAATTACACTAGTCGTTTGAAACCCAAACAACAAAGAGAAGGCAAAGATATCAAAAATGTTACAGCCCAATCATCTGTTATGCCTGCCGCGAAGAAACAAATGAGTCAGAATGCGCTGCAAACAAGGATTCCGCCACTAAAGTAAAAGCTAAAACAAGTGTAACACAACTAAAGTCCTCGACAGTGGTTAATGCCACCAAAAAGGAGTAAGTATTATAATATTATAAATACATATATTTTGCGCAAAAAACTGCCACTTGTATTTCTCTTTAAGTCCGGAAGTTGTTATACATGTTTGTGATGAGGTGAAAAATACTTCTAAGGATTTCATGTGTCCTCAGAGTTTGCTCGTCAGCAAGATGGGTTACTTTGCCGATGTTACTGCCGGTCAAAAGCTCGAGGATATGGATATATCGGTACACTGTGACATACAAATCTTCGAATGGCTTATGAAATGGGTAAAATCGGAGAATGCCACTAGCAGCACGTCTAGTGTAGATCCTAACAATGATATGGCACCAAATTTAAATGTTAATAATGTGGTTCCCATATTAGTTTCAGCTAGTTTTTTACAGGTATAATACATAGTTCGAATACGAATATACGAATATTTTAGATACTGATTACGGAGTAAAGTCTCTAAATTTATAATTATTAAAACCAATATACATATATTTTAGATGGAACCCTTGCTTATGGATTGCTTAAGCTTTTGTCACTCCCGCTTGGGTGAAGTGGTACGAGTTTCTACCAATCTCTCCTGTTTAAATGATACCATAATCACCCGCATGGCTGCCATGTTCACTAATGTTGAATTGGAAATGTGTGTGTGATAAAAAGGATCGTTTATTGCCGCGTTTATGGACCAAACTTATCTTGAGTCTTTTCGAACCAGAAACGGAAGCTTTAAGGGGTCATTACTATAGTTTATCGGGTTTATTTAAATGTGCAAAGTATATATCGGCCATTTTATATTTAAAATAAAATGAATACTAATTAAATCATAAATCTTAAATAGATGTCAAAAATGTTTAACCAATACCATGAAGTCCTATATACAGTGTATACCAGGTAATGTACGTTTAAATCGTTGGGGTCAAATTGTTAGTCATCATGTGCGCGAATCTTCATGGGATTTGAATTACTATATAGCCCAACTATTTAAAGAGGTTAAATCGTGGCGTTTGGTCTATTGGAAACTATGGGGTCATGCTCATTATTTGTACTGCTGTCTGTGTGAAATGTACTTTCCGGTTTATCAGATGTCTTGGTGTCGTTATCATCCCGAATCACCTAGCTTTCTCGGTCCTGTTGCCGAGGGTCGTACTACAGGTCCAGCTGGTCGTTATGCTTGTTGTGGCCAACAGGCTTTTCGTTATGAAACCTTACCGGGTCCTCATGTAAGTTATGATTTTAATTTCATTTTCAATATTTTAAAATTTCTTTTACTTTAGGGCTGTCAGTTTCGTGAACATAGCGTTTTAGTAGAAACTGATCGTGAACGTTCTATATTATCTATAGTGCAGTTAGCTATTGAGGGTAAAGCCTTAGGTGATTGCCCTCCACATCGTATGCAAGACTTATTGGCTAATGGAGAAATTGAACACAGATGGATGGGTATATCGTTGATGCCTCAACGTTGTCGTCAGGGTTTGTTGCCGGTTTTGAATCCAGATGGTAAGTTAAGGTTGGACATTAAGTATGACTACTAGTGTGTTTGAGATAAGTAAGTAAGTAAGTAAGTAAGTAAGTAAGTAAGTAAGTAAGTAAGTAAGTAAGTAGTAAGTAAGTAAGTAA